CGTTCGATGTAACTACGGATCTCCACCCGGCTGGAGGAACAGAACAGATGCTCCATCTACCCTGGGATTATGCCGGCCCGGCCCTATCATTAGGCAGAGTGTGGCAGCTGCCCCTGACAGCAGATTTTGGGTCTCGTGAAAGGGCAGTGAATCATCTGTTATTTTGAATGTTTACAGTGAGGGAAGAAGAGAAGGTGACTTTTTCTCCCTGACCTTCCAAGTCAAAGTGAATGGCTTGAGGCAGTTTAGGCATGCCCTGAGATCCTGGAACAGAGGGAAGGGAAGAAATACTCTAAATTAAATAAAATGCTGCATTGTCCCTTGAATGGGGTAGGTAGATGGCACCGTTGGCTACCACCCTTTTGGGCCAAGCCTGTGGGGAGACCAACAGGGATACAAACATATTAAAATCGCCAATCTGCTTTCTTATACCTTTAAATGTAGCTGGCTAAACATACTATGGGAAATACTCAATTTTTTGTTATTATTTTATTAAATAATCGTGTACAAAAAAACACAAGCAAAACCATACAAACCTTAAAAAAAAACTTAAAAACACAGAACAAACTAAACATTTGCTTATGTTTGGGAATATTTATTTATACCTAAATGGTAACAGGCGTTCCTTAACAAAGCATGAAAACATGTAGGCTTTCTTGCAGCCAGGAAGGAGTCTCAGGGTATCATGAACTCAGGCATCTTATCCTTTGAATAACAGGCTCAAGGACATGGATAAACTCGATCCATCATTTTCATGCAAAAAGAGATGGTTGCAGTTTGAGGAGCATCCTGTAAATAAAGGTACTTCAAAGAAAACGATGTGAGAAAGAGAACTGGAAAGGATTAGCAGTTTTAAGGACTTGTTTCAGGGTGCTTTGTGTAGGTTTGTGCCCGTTCGTTTTTCATCCAAACAGGTGGTTGGCACTTCCCTGCCCCGCCTCCTCTGGCGGGCACCCACTCAGAGGCAAAGCCCTGGCTTTCCTTCCCTGCTTCCTCTGGCAGGCACCCACTCAGAGGGAAACTCCCTGGCTTTCCTTCCCTGCCTCCTCTGGCAACTGCCTCTGAGAGTAAATAAAATGCTGCATTGTCCCTAGCAGATTTCTAAGAAACCCCTCCAAAACTGCTGTAGAGATGCTGCAGAAAATGGGCACCTCAGGTGTGGTGAGCTTTGAGCACTCAGTGTGTGCGCCCGTGTGTCTCCTTTTTCTTTTCTTTTTCTCTTTTTAAGGACTACAATGCCCAACACCTGCTGAAGGAGGACGAGCACTGAAGCCCGGAACACCTGTTTGGACAAAAGAACAAACGAGCACGAACCACCCAGCCACCGGTTCATGCCCATCTTGAGTAAATACTTTTTTTAAAAAAAGCTCCCCTATACATTCTGGAATTTGGACTCCTAAACTGACGCCTTAGGGTATGTATGAACTGATTTCTCTGCTGGCATTAATGCACACTTTCCTAATCCTTCACATCTTCATATGCCTCCTAGCAGATTTCTAAGAAAACCCCCAAGACTGCTGTCGAGATGCTGCAGAAAATGAGCACCTCAGGTGAGCTTGGTGTGCCTCCTTTTTCTTTTTTCTCTTTTTAAGGACTACAATGCCCAGGAACCTGCTGGTTAGGGGATTTTAGGATCTGTTGTCATCCAGAAAAAGCAAGTTTCCTTAGCTCTGGTTGCTCTTCAGTCCTGCGTCGGAGACTTGCCCCCTCTCAGTGTCGGCTCGCCATCCGCACGGAACCAGAGACACCCCCCTTCTCCACAGGATGGGGCTCTTAAGAAAGTTAACCCCCATCTTTGAGAGAGACAGGATCAGACTAGGACCAGAAGGCGGGGGGGGGGGGGAGGTGGGTTCTCTGCAA